GTGATCTGGGGAGACACACAGCAGGGGGGTAACACCGTGATCTGGGGAGACACACAGGAGGGGGGTAACACCGTGATCTGGGAGACACAGGAGGAGGTAACAAACCAATGAGAACCCCTCTTACACCACAGGCCAACCTCTCTCTTGGGGATCTTCTGCATACTTTCTCACACACCCATGTGTGCCCTTGCACATACCATTCCTCTCCATGAACTCATCTTCCTGTTTTTACCATGGTTCTCCTCCTGCAAGATCCTGCTTGATTATCCACAGTGAGGGATCACTTTCCAGGGCACATCTCTGCACTCAGCATGCACTTTGTCAATCTCAGCTTTCTCCAAATGCCTTGTATCCTTCTCTTGAATTTTACATGCTTCAGATTCTTTTGGTGTGATTTTTCTTTGGCAGGTTAAAAGTAATAATAGTTTAGCTGTTGGGGAGACCCCATTCCAGCTATTAACTGTTGCTCAGAATTACAAGAAGCAGCACCAACCACTAAAGTCAAGTTCTTATGGAGCCAAAATCATGTTAAACCACTCAACTACATGGGCTCGTACACACAGTCCATAATCCTGTCAATTCATGGTACAGTATATTCAAAGGCCCTTTATTTCTCTGTTAGACACACACACACACACACACACACACACACACACACACACACACAGATAAAAAAGCTTCACAACTGTCTAATTTACTGATTTTCACTTACTCACTTACCCTTAGCTGTTGCCTAGCTTCCAGTCTTGAGGTAGCAGCAGCTTAGCAATCAGAACTGTAAAGAAGGTAAGGGAGGATAATATCAGAGGCAGCATAAATGCTTTCCAGGCTTTGGGGCAGAAGAGTAAGTTGTGACTCTCATAACTCGGTTGATTTCAGTCTTTACCCAGTGGACTTTAGCGATCAAGATACCTTTTCTCTAGGAAACTTTATGCTGTTTTTACTGTTGGCACAAAAGAAGTGACTCCCATTTTTGACATCTTTATTTTGTTTAAGCATCTTTAGATATAGGTCGGTACTCATGGCCACAAGTCTGAGGAGACTGCAGTCATTTCCAGAAAAATCAAGTTGGAATGCTTTACAGCTAATAGTCCTAGCTAACTGGAAACAAGATTGCTTTCGTTGGTCTGGTGACTGCAGGTCTAGACGTGGATTACAGGAGTGCCTTGGGGAGGCTTGTTTTATACTAGGACCCCTGTTCCCCTTAAGTCTGCTCCTTGTAACTCAGTGACAAGAATGCCATCATTGATTATCTGCCGTGCGCCTGCTCTGTGCCGAGCACTGCTGCTCAGGTGAGTAGGACTTGGTCCTGCAAAGGCAGTCAGTCAGCTGAGGAAGTTCTCAGGTCTACTGAATACATGTGGTGATGCTTTACTGGAGGATTACATCAAGAGAGCAGAGATGCACAAGCAAACCTGTCATGTACGTATGCACATATGTGTATGTACATGTTGAAGTACAATTTTACCTGTCAATTTCAGATGCATCAATCTGTAAAAGAAGTGATGTTTCCTGCAAGAGTCAATGAAGAAGTTATGGGGGTTGGCACAATAGAGATTTGTTAAATGCCATCAGTATTATTAGTACTGGGTGTGTAACAGACATTTGAGATTATCTAGTTGCTTGGGGTACCTTGTAACACCGAGCTATCCAGAACATAAAATAGTTAACTGGGGATTTTCCAGACTTTCCAGATTTTCCAGAGAGGCCTCTGGTCTCCAGATCGCTAGGAGTCTTGCCCTACCTCACTTATTCTTTCAAATTATAACCATATTGATTTTCAGACTTGACATGAATAGCAGTAGAGATGCCTTTCAGTTTTCAAAGTGCTTTCACGGCCATTGTCACAGTGCTTTACAAACCATGTTCACTGGACACCGGTGTCCTGGAGCCATTCCCTATGCAAGTCTACTAATAGCAGTCTTCCCCATTGCAAACATACCAGATGAATAAACAGAATTCCCTAAATCCCCAATTTTCACCTCTCTGTTTTACTTGTTGAACATAAAGTTTTAGCCAGGCAGTGATGGTACACGCCTTTAATCCCAGCACTCGGGAGGCAGAGGCAGGTGGATCTCTATGAGTACAAGGCCAGCCTGGTCTAGAGAGGTTCCAGGACAGCCAGGGCTGCACAAAGAAAGCCTGTTTTGAAAAGAAAAGAAAAAATGTTTCACAAATAAAATTGGATATGGATTTTTTGAGATGCAGAGGGCTTTTTATAAAAACCATATTTGCTCCTAGTAAAGTCTGCTTGTTATGTACAGTGCAGTATTACATGGAGTTTCAGAGATGAACACAATTCTTTTAGACTGCAATTTTAGCCTCAGAGCAAATTTGAACACCCCATCTTTTGATTCAGTAGCTACTCTGTGAGGTAACCAGGGCAGAGAGGAGACTGACTAATGGAGAGAAAAGGATGTGTCTGTGAACATGGTGCTAGTAAGTTCCCAGAATCCAGTCAGTTTGACTCTGCATTTAATGTGATTGGGCTCCAGAAATAAAAGGAATTGAGTTAATGATCTGCCTGCCATCGTAGACCCACAGTAAGGGCTTAAACAAGAGAGAAGTTACTTTCTCTTTCATATAGAAATCAGTTAAATATTCCATCATTTGTTCTGCCATACTTCTCCTCCCGCTTCTCTCATTGACTGATGGCAGCTCCTTCCTGAACCATCATGTCCACAGTCTAGCCGTCAAGGGTGATGGGAAGTAGCTGACATGCTTCTTCCCATTAAGAATATATTCAAGGTGCCAGGTGGTGGTGGTGTACACCTTAATCCCAGCAATCAGGAGGCAGGGTCTTTGGGAGTTCAAGGCCAACCTGGTCTACATACAGAGTTCCAGGACAGCCAAGGCTACACAGAGAAATGCTGAAAAGAATATATTTAAGGTGCCAGTGCTGGTAGTGCACACCTTTAATCCCAGCATTTGGGAGGCAGGGGCAGGTGGATCGCTTGTGAGTTCGAGGCCAGCTTGGTCTACAGAGTGAGTTCCAGGTCAGCTAGGGCTACATAGTGAGACTGTGTCTCAAAAAAAAGCAACAACAACAACAAAAAAAACAAAAACATACAAAATTCTTTTAAGCAGGTGCTATAACTACTGGGCTTTACAAACATTTTATTTTTACAGTATTAAAGCTGATATATTCCATTTAATTCTTATAATATACTGGTTATTAAAGATGTAGTTTAAGGAATCAGAGACTTAGATTATTAACTTACCAAGTGACTGGTGATTTCCAGAGCTAGTATTTGAACTAAAGATGGTCAGAACCCATCTAACATCAATGCTATTTACATTTTATAGAAACTCATCAAAGGTCCCTGTGGTTACTTACACCTTTACCACAATTTTGCTGTTCCCAGTGAGGAAACTGTGTCTCCAGTGTTTGGCACTGAATTATAAACATGCCCACCCACTGAGCATGCACCCCCCCCCCCCTCAGATCATTACGGACTTTTCAGAGAACTATCACCAACTCCTTCAGGCACTTGGCTATCAGCCTCATTATTTTCTCTCCAGAACTTCTGGAGCTGAATGCTGTGGTTTATCAGGTGTTAGCACTGAGATGTTTGATGACGCAGGTCTTCCCCAGCCCTCCTGCTCTAAAGGATGCCTCCTGCACTGGCAACAGACGCTCTCACAGGCCTAGCTTTCTGCCCAAATGACAGACAGTACTTAACTTGGCCATTTCCTTACTGTTGAAATCCTAAACAAGAGTTTTCTCTCTCTGTCAGGGGATGAGAGACAAAATTATCTCTAAGATCTCTTCCAACTGTAAGAGAACCTTGATTCTAATTTACTCTTCTGTCAGTTCTTTGCCAGTGAAGGTGGGCAAAACCTTGCCTCCAGAATACCTGTTTTTGCTAGGCAGTGATGGTGCATGCCTTTCATCCCAGCACTTGGGAGGCAGAGGCAGGTGGATCTCTGTGAGTTTGAGGCCAGCCTGGTCTACAGAATGAGTTTTTTGCTTATAGCATAACTATCAATTTTCAAATTGAGAAACAGCACTCGAGATGGGAGGTTAGCCTCAAAACAAAGTAATGACAGACGACAGTCACATTCAGTCTTGTTAAAATAGTGCTTGCTCTGTTCTTGTACTGGCCACTGGTAAGGGAAACTGCCTGTTCCTTCCTATGAGAACTTTAACATCTCAAAAGGGTAACCTGGGGGAAAAATAGTAAACAATTTGACTTGAAAGGTTACTCTTAAAAAATATGAACACACTGGGCAGTGGTAGCACACACCTTTAATCCCAACACTGGAGGCAGAGCCAGGTGGATCTCTGTGAGTTTGAGGCTAGCCTGGTCTACAGAACAAGTACCAGAACAGGCTCCAAAACTACACAGAGAAACTGTGTTTTGAAAAACAAAACAAAACAAAATTATGATTAAATTTCTTCCTTTTTTGCATAAAGTTTCACTATATAGCTCTAGATGGCCTGGAACTTCCTATGTAGACCAGGCTAGACTTGAACTTACAGAGATCCACCTGTCCCTGCCTCCTAAGGGCTGCTCACTACCATGCCTGTCAGATTAAATTTCTTATACAGTCCTTGGACTATTTCCTTTCTCTTTGTTTTCTATTCAGCCTAAAAAGAAGAAGGCAAAAGTGGAAGTGAGAGCCATTAATCTGGGGACAGATTATGAATATGGTGTTTTAAATATCCACCTGATCGCTTATGACATGACTCTGGCAGAAAGCTATGCCCAGTATGTCCACCGCCTCTGCAACCGGCTCTCCATCCAAGTTGAGGAAAGGTAGGAAGGATGCCTTTGTTTGGGATGTGTCTGGGTATCGTGCTCCACTTTTCTGTCAAGTTAGGTTTTGGAAAAATAATGTACATGTAATAAAAGTTACTCCTTAGTTACATACCTGCCACAACCAAAGTATAGAACAGCTCATTGACCTCAAAAGTTCCCGTACAGCCAGTCTCCTCTCTCCCACTATCCAGTTAACCACCCAGTTTTTAAATGTATTTACTTATGTATTGTGTACGTGCTGCTCACACAAGCCTCAGCGTGCATATGGCGCAACAGTGCGTGGAGGTCAAAGATCAGTTTTCAGGAGTCAGTTTTTTTGCTCCCTTACATGGGTCCCTGGGATGGAACTCCCGTCATCAGACTTGGTGGCAGGTGCCTTCTCGGAGGTCCTCATCTCACTGCCCCTTGTTCCTCTTGTTTCAGTGTCTTCAGAATATATAAGTGGAATCACACAGTGGATAGCTGTTTATATCTGACCTTTTCACTTGGCATAATGTGTTTACGTTCACACACGCTTTTGCAGGTTGTTTTTAAAAATTGTGGCAAAATATATATAAAACCAGTCATTTTACTACTTCTAAAATTTTTTGTTGCATTCACGTATTTATTGTGACTATGTAGGTCTGGAGATGAATGTGCCAGAGCACAAGAGTGTGACGTCAGAGCACAGCTTGCAGCAGTCAGTTCTCCGTCCGCCATGTGGGCCCCAGGGTCCAGTTCATCAGGCTCGGGGGCAGTCACCTTTCCCTGCTGAGCCGTCTCTCCAGCCCCACGTTAATTTTCTTTAAATGTGTTTGCCAGTGGTGTTATACACATCTGTAATGTGCAGTTGTTACCACCGCCCGTGTTTGTGACTGTTCAGCTTGTGAACTGAAGTTCTGCACTTAGTAAGCAGGAATTCTGCTTTCCCTCCTCTGCTTAGCCCAGAACTGCTGCCCCCCTACCCCTATGCCCATCCCCCACAACCAATCTACTTATTATTGATTTTTGATTACCCTGTAGAAGTAGAACTATACAGTATCTCTCTGTGTGTGTGTGTATTGTGGCTGGTTTATTTTGCTGAGCATAATAATGCCTTCAGAATTCATCCATGTTGTAGAATATGTCAGAATTTCCTTAAGACTGAATACTCAATTATATACCATATTTTGCTTATCTATTCATCCGTCAGTAGATGATTCTGTTCAGTTTTGGTTTTGAGATGGAGTCTCACTATGGTAACCTTAGCTGGTCTGGAACTCACTATGTAGACCAGGTTAGCTTCTCAAACCTGTAGCAATCTTCCTGCCTCTGCCTCTTAAGTACCGAGATTATAGACATGAGCCACCACATCCAACCTGTTTTCTTAAGTGTTTAGAAGGGTAGTGTAGTGTTTTTTAAGTTTGAATTATCAGTTTTTTATTTCATGGTTTATGATTTTGTTATCATGTGTAATAACTTACTGTCTAATCCAAAGTCACAAAGCTATTTGACTAGCCGTCCTCATTTTAAAGTTTTACATTAAGAGGTCCATTTTGTACTGTTTCTGTATATGGTGTGTAATTTGTGCTTGTCCCTTCCTCTTTAAGAGGGAGTTGGTTTCTTTTCCTCTTTTTCTCTCCTTGCCTTTGTGGGTTTTTTTTTTTGTTTGTTTGTTTTTGTTTTTGTTTTTATTTTTTCACAACAGGGATTCTCTGTATAGCCCTGGCTGTCCTGGAACTCACTTTGTAGACCAGGCTGGCCTGGAACTCAACAGAGATCCACCTGCCGAGAGCTGGGATTCCAGGCGTGGGCCACACCCACCCAGTACCTTTCTTTTCTAATATGGCTCTTCAGTTGTTCCAGTACCATTTGGTGAGAAAGACTTTTTTTTTCTCCACTGAATATCTCATCTTTGTTGGAAGCTAGTGTACCATGAGTGTGTGTGTCTGTTCCCTGAAGTGATTCATGTTACATTGGTCTGTATGTCTGTGCTTACACTAATGTCCCACTGTTTTGATTTCTATAGCTTGATTATGCTTTGTTCTTTTTAAATTTATTTTTCTATAATGGTCTTTTGTTTTTTTCATTCAAAAGTTTTATTAATTTGTTGATATCTATGTAAAAGCCTGTTGGGATTTTTTGATTATGTGTGGAGCCTGTAGATCAGTTTGGGGGAAATTGAAGTCATAATAATTTTCTCCATTGATTCAGGCATTTTTTGCTTACTCTCTTTTTCATGTATTCTCTGGACTTTCTGGAAAACTGTAGGAGAAGGGAAGTGATATTTACTAACTGCCTATTCCAGGGCAGGTTCTTTTCATATCTTATCTCAGTGTTTCTGTCGGCATACATGTCCTGTGGTTTGCCTTAAATAACGTTAAGTCACTTGATTAGAAATGGCTTCCCTTTTAAGTTCTTATTCAACTTAATTATGCCAAGGAGACATTCTCAGAGTGGCGCTGGTGTGTCCTGAACATTGCTCTAGCACTTCCTGATCTTGGCAACAAAGAGGGGCCCTCGGGCCTGGAGTCTTTGGCAAGATACATTGCTAGAATTTGTGACATGGATTTTGTTTTCATTGTGTTTATTTTTAACCTGCCTTCTACTTTGTCAGCTGATACGGGTTTTCCTTAACAATCATGGCATAAATTCAGACTTTCTGTGGTATTATTTACTTTCAGTGAACATGTCTGTGAACGTTGACTAATGTATACAGTAGAATCGGTTCCATTATAATCAAGATACAGAACATTCTGTCATATGAGTTCTCTGCTTCTGTAGTAGTCAACTCCTCTCCCACCCAAGTCCATGCTAACTTTTAACCTGGTTCCTTTCCCTGTAGTTTTGACCTTTGCAGGATGTCATATAAATGAAAAAAATATAGCATTTTCCATCTAAAGATGGAGTAATATCGTCATGATTTACCCATTTTTGCTGCATCAGACACCTTGCTCCTTCTTGCTGCTCAGTGGCATTTCATTAGAAGAATGTGCTGCAGTTTGTCCCTTTACTAATTGAAGGGCTATTGCACTTTCGGTTTTTGGCAGTTATGAGTAGAGCCACTATAAATAGGAATGGGTTTGTGTGAGAGCACAAATTTTCATTTCTAAGTAAGAATGTGGTTTACGGTCACACCGTAAGTGTAATATGTTTGGTTTATAGGAGATTCTGCAAGCTTTTCTAAAAAGGCTATACCCTTAATCCCTCACCAACAATGTTTGACTTCCACATTGTTCTGCATCTCACATTCCTTCTTAAATTAACTTTTTAAGTGAGATGATTTTTTAAAGAAATCTGCTTATTTTATGTATATGAGTGATCTATCTGCATGTATACCTTTATGCCAGAAGAGGGCATCAGATCCCACTACAGATGGTTGTGAGCCACCATGTTTCTGGGAATTGAACTCAAGACCTCTGAAAGAGCAGCTAGTGCTCTTAACCACTGAGCCATCTCTCCAGCCCCGAGACGATTTTTTAAAAGAGTTAATAACAGCTTAGGTAATTTGTTGTTCTGATAAGGTTGTAAGTAGATACAAACCATGTGGGTACACAAAGGTGACCATTTCTTTTTTTTTTTTTCTTTTTCCACATCTTTTTTTTTTTTTTTTTT